ACTCCTGCCCTGGATTCTCCAGCTGCTCTTCGAGGGTGGGTGGGTGGGAGGCTGCAGGACTCACCTGGAGCCCCCCCTGTGAAGACAGCTACAGGTGACGTTCCCCCCTTCCTTCTCTCTGCCCCACTAGGTCCTCGCTTGTCCGGCGGGCACAGCCTGCACGAGACGTCCACAGTGCTGGTGGAGACAGTCACCAAGGCCACCTCCTCGGTGGGGGGCAGCTACAGCGCCCTGCCCAAGTTCTCCTCGGACGCCAGCAAAGTGGTCGCCCGGGGCCCTGGCCTCACCAAGGCCTTCGTGGGGCAGAAGAACACCTTCACGGTGGACTGCAGCAAGGCAGGTGGGTATCCCGGTGGGCCGGGGGGCCGGGAGGGGGACCGGGCCGGCACGACGAAGAAACCTGGGAAAACGGGGTCTTCAGAACGTCCGACCTGGGTCACAAGACCCCTTTTTGTAAAGATGCTCCTTCACCTGCCCAGTTTTTTCCTAAAGGCTGTCAATTCGGGTCCCACCGTCGTTACTACAGTTACTAACTTTGTTACTACAGTTACAGGAGCCCAAAATGTCTGCCACACGAGACCTCGGTTAAGTGGGTTTTGCCCTGCTTGGCCATCTGTCTTCCCACGCTTGTTAGCGGAATCCCTGCAGTTGTTCAGTTAGCAACGCGGACGTTAAGTGAATCCGGATTCCCCCCCCCTTGACTTTGCTGGACAAGAAGTCGCAAAAGGGGATCGCGTGACACACACACAAACCCCGAGACGCTGCCACCGTCATAAATGTGAGGCGATTGCCGAGCGTCTGAATTTTGATCAGGTGACCCTGTGGGAGGCAGTAATTAACCAGTGGAACCACCTGCCTCCAGAAGTTGTGAATGCTCCAACGCTGGAAGTTTTTAAGAAGGGACTGGACAGCCATTTGTCCGAAATGGTGTAGGGTCTCCTGCCTGAGCAGGGGGTTGGACTAGATGACCTCCAAGGTCCCTTCCAACTTTATTATTATATATATATCATATATATCAGACAGCCACTTCTCTGGAATGGTGTAGGGTTTCCTGCCTGAGCAGAGGGGTTGGACTAGATGATCTCCAAGATCCCCTCCAACTTTTATTATTATTATTATATATATCATAAATCATATATATCATATATATCAGACAGCCACTTGTCTGAAATGGTATAGGGCAGGAGTAGGCAACCTTGGCTCTTTTATGACTCGTGCACTTCAACTGTGCTGGCTCAGGAATTCTGGGAGTTGAAGTCCACGAGTCATAAAAGAGCCAAGATTGCCTACCTCTGGCATAGAGTTTCCTGCCTGAGCAGAGGGGTTGGACTGGATGACCTCCGAGGTGCCTTCCTCCTCGGTGACCGTGCCACTCTGTGACTCCTTGCAGGCACCAACATGCTGATGGTGGGGGTCCACGGGCCCAAGAGCCCCTGCGACGAAGTCTACGTCAAGCACATGGGCAACCGGGTCTACAGCGTGACCTACACCGTCAAAGAGAAGGGCGACTACATCCTCATCGTCAGGTGGGGGGACGAGGCCGTGCCCGGCAGCCCCTACCAAGTCAGCGTGCCCTAGGAGGGGGCCGGAGCCCACCCGCCCCCTCGGCCCCGCCCTCCCCTAGGCCCAGAACTGGCACCCGTGACCGAGGCGGGGGCGAGGGAGAGGCGCAACCGTGGGACAATCGCTGGCCTCCCCCTCCTCAAATTGGACTTTGGCTTTTGAGGGGTTCTCCAGGTGGACGGGGGCTGGGACGGGTAGGGGGAGAGGGATACGGGGGAAGGGGGGTGGGGGTGGGAGGGGGAGGCTGTTTGAGCTGGTGAGGGGGGTGGGGGGGCCCCCAGTGAGGCCGGACTGGGAAGGAGGAGAGGAAGGGACGTCGTCGTAGGGATGGAAGGATGCTTGCGTGGCTTTAATTTGGATTCACCCCCAAACCACAGCCACGCAAGGGGCTAGTCCTCAGCCTGCCCTGGGCTTGACTACTTAAAGACCTTTTTTAACCTGGCCTTGACTTGGGAGAAAGAGACTTTTGCACACACTGGAAAAAGGAATGGAAGAAAGAAGCAACAAAGGAGTAAGCAAAATCCAGGGGTGGCTCCCAAACTGCAGCCAAATTTGAGGAGAGGGCTGGGGGCGGCGGGGGGGGGAGGGTGAGCCTACCCTTCCCCCTCGACGAAGGTATGTTTGTTGAGTGGTGCGGAGAGGAAACAAAAATAAGTGCCAAGTGTGGGTCTTGGAAAGGGGATCACCAATGCATCTCTTGAGAGGAGAGCACAAATGCCTTCCCAGCAAACTTTCTGAGTACGTCCTGTGAAGGCGGTGGGGTGCTTTGGATTCGAATCCAACCCCTGCTCTCCTGAAGCAGCGCAGTGGCCTGGGGCTTTTTAAAGCAGCCGCCTCTTTCCCTGGATTCCCAGGGAAAAAGAGGCAGTGTTTTAAAAAGCGCTAAGTCCAGTGTTTCTCAACCTTGACAATTTTAAGGCATGCGGACGTCAACTCCCAGAATTCCACAGCCAGCAATGCTGGCTGTGGAATTCTGGGAGTTGACATCCACATGCCTTAAAATTGTCAAGGTTGAGAAACACTGCGCTAAGCAGAGACCTCCGACACGACTTCCAGGAATTGGATCCGAAGCATTACGGCATGACTCTCTTTCCTGGGGGGGGGGGCTTCTTCCCACATTGTTCAACAGTTGTGCTTCACTGTGAAGGGGTTAGCTCAGGCCAAAGAGATTTGTGTGTGTTTTTTCTTTTTTTTAAGAAAAGGAGGAAGGGGAAAAAAAATATTAAAAAAGTAGGGGAAAGGGGAACACAGCTCTTGCAAGGCCCAGGTAGTCAGGAGAGGGGGCGTATTTTTTCTCTCTCTCTTTCTCTCTCTCTCTTTCTCTCTTTTTTTTTTTTTAAAAGTAAAGTGTTTGAGGTTGTGTGTGTTCACTGGGGCTGGGATGGCGTTACCACTAGGAGTAGAGGTGGCCAAGTCAGAGCAGCCACCTTGCACCCAACTGACCTGCCCCTCAGCAATAAAGTTTACTTGCTTTTAAAAATCAGCCTCCTGGTTTTTTTTTTTTTTTTTGCCTTACTGTTGGTTTGGGAGGGGGAGGGAGAGTACAGGGTCCCCCCCCCAAATTTTTTCCCTTAGGCTCCTTTTCCAACCATTGGTGATTGGTCGGTTTTTAGCACTGATGATGTTATCTAGTTGGGTCATGAAATGTCTGCAAGAAAACCACCAAGCTCAGAGAGCACCAGGGACCCACAGTTCCCTCCCTTCCTCCCTCCCTTCCTTCCTCCCTTCCTTCCTTCCTTCCTTCCTCCTTTCCACTCCCTTCTAGCCCTGATGATGTTACCTAGTTGGGTCATGACATGTCTGCAAGAAAACAACCAAGCTCAGAGAGCACCAAAGATCCCACAGTCGTCCTTCTCCTCTTCCTCACCTCCTCCTCTTCCTTCCCTCCCCAACTCCTCTTCCTCCTCCTCCTCCTCTCCGCAGCCCCTCCTCCCTTCTAGCACTGATGATGTTATCTAGTTGGGTCATGCAACGTCTACAAGAAAGCTACCCAGCTCAGAGAGCACCAAGGATCCCACAGTGCTTCTTCCTCCTGCTCCTCCTCTCCACAAACCTCACTCTCCTTCTAGCACTGATGATGTTCCCTACTTGGGTCATGAAACGTCTGCAAGAAAACAGCCAAGCTCAGAGAGCACAAGGACCCTCCCCCACAGTCCTCTTCCTCCTCCTCTCTGCAAAAAACCTTCCTGTTTAGCACTGATGTTGTTACCTAGTTGGGTCATGAAATGTCTGCAAGAAAACCACCAAGCTCAGAGAGCATCAAGGACCCTTATTCCTTCTTCCCCCCTCTTCCTCTCTGCATACCTTCTATCAGTTCTAGATGATGTTACCTAGTTGGGTCATGAAACTTCTGCAAAAAAAGCCACCAAGCTCAGAGAGCACCAAGGACTCCACAATCCTCCTTCTTCTTCCTCTCCTCCTTCTCCTCCTCCCCCCTCTCCTTCTCTCTGCATACCTTCTACCATCTCTAGATGATGTTACCTAGTTGGGTCATGAAACATCTGCAAGAAAATAACCAAACTGGGGGAGCACTAAGTCCTCCTCCACCTCCACCTCCTTTTGGTGACCAAACCTGGATGCTGTATTCCAAGTGTGGTCTTACCAAGGCCTTATAAAGCAGTACTAACACTTTACCTGATCTTTATTCTATCCTTCTGTCGATGCAGCCCAGCATTGTGTTGGCCTTTTTGGCTGCTGCCGCACACGGCTGACTCCTATTTAAGGGATGGTCCATGGTCCACTAGGACTTCCGATGTCCCTCTTGCAGCTATTGCTATTGAGCTAGGTACCACCTATACTACTACTCTACCTTTGCATTTGGCTTGTCTTGCCTAATTGTAAAACCTTATTTTCTTCATCACTGACGTTCATTTTGTTAGGTAGGGCCCCGGGTTCAAGTCTGTCAAGAACCTTCTTTATCTTAAGCCTGTCTTCTGAGGTGTTGCCTGTTCCTGCCAGCTTGGTTTAGAATAATAGGATAACAGAGTTGGAAGGGACCTTGTAGGTCATCTAGTCCAACCCCCTCTCCCCACCCAAGCAGAAGACCCTACACCATTTTTAGACAAATGGCTGTCCAATCCCCTCGTATGATGATAATGATGAAGAACAAACGGGCTGATTGTTCCAATCCTTGCAAAATAATTAATGGAGAGAAAAAAAGAAAGGCATCCGCGGAACCCGTACATCCACAGCCACAAATACATCTTTATTTTCCTATCTCTACAATTCTGATGGCTTCATAGGTGTTTCTTTTCAACGACGCATGCGCTGAGGTAAGAACGCATTGCCCCTCGAACACTCTTTACCTCCTATCTCTATGATCTCAATGGGTATGGAGGCGGCTTCTTTTTCACGACGCATGCGCCGAGGCAGGAACACGTTCCTTCGGACACTGCGCTTGCGCGTCTCGGCGCGCTATAAGCTTACTACAGCGCCTGCGCGAGAGGAAAGTCAGCTGCTTTTGCTGTTCCACCTCTTTGGCGCGATTATGGCGGGCCGGGGGAAGCTGATCGCCGTCCTGGGCGACGAGGACACGGTGACCGGGTTTCTGCTGGGCGGCGTGGGGGAGCTGGACAAGCACCGGCGCCCGAACTTCCTCGTGGTGGAGAAGGAAACGGCGCTGGCCGAGATCGAGGAGGCCTTTCGGTGAGGAAGGAGGAGGGGGGGTGGCGAAGGAGGGAGAAGAGCCGGGAGGAGGTTGCCCGGGAAACGGCAAGGGAAGGACCATTGCGCTCTGAAAACGGGGGAGGGGGCGCTGCGTTTGGGAAGGGACCATTGCCTGTCATGGGGGGAGTTGGGATGAAACCAAGCCAATGTAAACCGGCAGGGCGGAAGAGACCACCTACTCTTCTGAGGGGGCATCGCAGAAAATGTGAGGCTAAACCATTCCAGGCCGGGGGGGGAAGCAATGCTTGTTTAATGGAGGTTATTTTAATGGGGAGAAGAGAAAGGAACTAAATGGGAAGAAATGATGGATTGAGTAAAAAGAGGAAAAGCCGTTCCTAGATGTAGGTAATCCTTGCATTACGACCACAATCCAGCCCAACCAGACGGTTAAATGAAATTTGCCCTGTTTTACGACCTTTGTTTCCGTCGTTAAGTGGATCACTGCAGTTAAGTTAGTCACCTGGTTGTTAAGTGAATCTGGCTTCCCCATTCACTTGGCTCGTCAGAAGGTGGCAAAAAGGGGAATCACACGACCCCAGGATGCTGTGACTGTCGTAAGTATGAGTCAGTTGCCTACTTTGATCGTGCATCTACGGGGATGCTGCAACGGGCGTAAGTGTGAAAAACAGTCACATTTTTCAGTGCCGGTGTAACTTTGAACAGTCCCTAAAAGACCATTGTAAGTCAATTAGAGCAGGGGTCTTCAAACTGGGCCCTTTGATGACTGGTGGACTTCAACTCCCAGAATTCCTCAGCCAGCCTCCATTTTGTTTTCAAACTTGGCCCTTTGATGACTTGTGGACTTCAACTCCCAGAATTCCTCAGCCAGCCTCCATTTTGTTTGTTAGTTTTAAGACAGGGGTCTTCCAACTTGGCCTTTTGATGACTGGTGGACTTCAACTCCCAGAATTCCTCATCCAGGGGGTTTCTGTGCAATCCCCACCCTTAAATTTCCTCCCTGTTGGGCTTGCTGGTCATGGTTAGAACTGGCCAGCATGATCCTGTAGTCACCTTTGCAAAATCTGAGAAGGCCTTGGACTCAGCTGGTGCTTTGTTTGCCCACAAACACAAAAAGTCCAGCGTTGGCTGCTTTTTGCAGGTCGGGTTGCCTGGGAAGGACCTGCCCTTGTCCTCCGTGACCTTGAGGGAGCAGGATTCGGTCCCTGCCCGGCGTTTGTGCCTGTTGAGTAGTTTTCCCCCCGGAAGAAAATATTTCCCCAATTCGGGAAATTCCTCATTTGCTCTTCGGAGGAAGTCTGGGTGGTGAGGGTATCCTGCTTTAAGTTCGGAATCAATAATTAAATCACGGTCTCTCAATCTCAGCCACTTTAAGATGTGGTGGCTGGAGAACTCCGGGAGTTGTAGTCCACACATCTTAAAGTGGCTGAGGTTGAAAAAGACTGAATTGTTTTGGGAACATTCTGCTGCTGTGTGAACTCGACAGCTGCTTCCCAGAATAATATTTATGGTGTTTTCTTCCTGTAGATAAAGTCTATCTTTGGTTCCTTTTAATCTTGTTTATTATGTTTTGTTCCCATCATCTGTAAGCCGCCAAGAGTCACCTTGAGGGAGCCCTAGTACAGTAGTAGAGGAAGCGTCAGTAGTAGCCCCAATAGTAGAGGGAGTCCTAGTAATTGCCCTAGTAGTAGAGGAAGCCCCAATATTAGCCCCAGTAATAGTAGGTGGAGCCCCAAGGAGTTTGTGGAGTCCCAGTAGTAGCCCCGGTAGTAGGGGGAGCCCCAAAGAGCTAATGGAGTAGCCCCAATAGTAAAGGGAGCCCCAGTGGTAGCTCCAGTATTAGAGGGAGCCCAGTAATTGCCCTAGTAGTAGAGGAAGTCTCAATAGTAGCCCAGGAGTAGAGGGAGCCCTAGTAATTGCCCTAGTAGTAGAGGAAGCCCCAATAGCCCCAGTAGTAGGTGGAGCCCCAAGGAGTTTGTGGAGTCCCAGTAGTAGCCCCGGTAGTAGGGGGAGCCCCAAAGAGCTGATGGAGTAGCCCCAATAGTAGATGGAGCTCCAGTAGTAGCCCCAATAGTAAAGGGAGCCCCAATGGTAGCTCCAGTAGTAGAGGGAGCCCTAGTAGTCGCTCTAGTAGTAGAGGGAGCCCCAGTAATAGAAGGTGGAACCCCAGGGAGCTGGAGGAGTTGCCCCAGTGGGAACCCCAGTAGTAAGGGCAGCCCCAGTAGCAGCGGTGGGGGAAGCCCCCAAGAGCCAGACCCCTTGTAACTCCTCCGTCCCACTTCCCCTCCGCCTGCAGGGGCTTCCTGGCCCGCGAGGACATCGGCATCGTCCTCATCAACCAGTTCATCGCGGAGATGATCCGCCACGTCATTGACGCGCACACCAAGTCGTTGCCCGCCGTGCTGGAGATCCCGTCCAAGGAGCACCCCTACGACGCCTCCAAGGACTCCATCCTACGCCGGGCCAAGGGCATGTTCACTGCCGAAGACCTGCGGTAGGTGGCCTGGAGAGTCCACTCCCGACCCGGGCCGACTTCTACTACTTCGCGGTGGTCACCTCTTCCTCTGCCTCTCCTCGTGTTGCCTTCCGGTTCTTCACCTTCCGCTCCTCGTCGTGCGGAGGAACGCGTCTGCGTTGGAGACTTCTCCTTCGGCCCTTTTGAGCGTCCAGGCTGCTGTTCCTCCCCTCCCGTTGACCTCATTGGAGTCAGGAACCACGGAAGAACCCTGGTTCTAAGCGCGGCTGGCTGGGGGATTCTGGGAGTTTGACGTCCACAGGTCTTCCAGTGGCCAAGATGGAGCGTGAGGTTCCACCATCCAATCTGGGGTTTCTCAACCTCGTAAGATGGGTGGACTTCAACGCTGGTGGTGTGGTGCCCACTTCCCTTTCATCTGGGGTGCTTTGGAGAAGACACCTCCCTCTCCATTTTCTCCATGGGACCCAGGTTGCGTCCCCCATATTTCTCTGGGGCCAGAATTGTCCTGGTTGCCTTTCCATGTCCTACTTTGATCCTTGTTCTTCACCAGCAGTTATGCTCCTCAACACAGATCTAGAACAGGGGTCTTCAAACTTGGCCCTTTGATGACTTGTGGACTTCAACTCCCAGCATACACGTGCCTGGCTGAGGAATTCTGGGAGTTGAAGTCCACAAGTCATCAGAGGGCCAAGTTTGAAGGCCCCTGATTTAGCGGTACTTCAGCCCAAGTTCTCTGTTTCTTCTCCCTGTCCTCCTACTTCCTGCTATTTAAGCCCTTTCCTTGAGGATGGAACCCCCCAAATGGGTTTGAAGTTAAGCTGGGATATCCTGGCTTGATGCCTTGGAGAAGCTGGTCTGTCTGTCTGTTTCCTAGTGCAATACCCAAACATCTGTCTCCCAGAGGATTTACAATCCAGATGAAAATTGTTCCAAAGTTTTGCCTCCCTTCCAAGGACCGAGGTTGTCCCCTTGACCGTGGGTTGGCTAGAAGGAAGTTCTCCTCCGATGAACCATTTTGAGTCTTCTTCAGCCTGGCTCCTGGTTTCCCAGCCTTGGCTGCTTGAAGATGGGTGAGTGTGGACTTCAACTCCCAGAATTCCTCAGCCAGCAGGAATTCTGAATGTGGCTGGCTGGGGGATTCTGGGAGTTGTCGTCCATACATCTTCAAGTGGTTAAGGTTGAAATTCCACAATCCAAGTTGGTATTTCTCAACTTTAGCCACTTGAAGATGCGGGACTTCAACTCCCAGAATTCCCTAGGCAGCAGGGTTCTTAAGCATGGCTGGCTAGGGAATTCTGGGAGTTGAAGTCCATACGTCTTCCAAGTGGCCACGGTTGACGTTGCACAATCCAATTTAGTGTTCTCAATGTCAGCCCACTTTCAGATGTGTGGATTTCAAGGCTGGCTGGGGAATTCTGGGAGTTGAAGTCCACGCCTCTTAAAGTGGCCGAGTTGAGAAACCCTGGCTTAGGGGCTTCACATGGCTCATCTGGGGGGTGTCTGGGGGGTCTAGGCCCCCAAACTGGAAGAGTCCGATCCTCTTTTTCAACCCTACGCTGCCTACAGAGTGATATCTACTAGCAGTTGCAATGTCTGGTGTCTTGGAAGCAACCTTGTCTGTTAATGGAAGCAACTTGGTCTGTCGGCTGGAAGAATTTAATAAAACTGATTTCTCTTTGATTTTGGTCTCGGCGTGCTCAACTTGGGTGAAGTGGGAGGCGATTCAGATGAAAGATGGTTCTCTTTCTCCCCTGCATTTTGTGTCTCTGACTCAGCAAGCTCTTTTCAGCCCTGGCCGGTTGTGGGCTCACTCTTTCCCTGCAATCTCTCCCCCCCATGGGGAAGTGGAGGGTGCCAATCCTTGCACGCGCTGGTGGGTCACTTCCTGGCTGCTGTCTGCCAACCAGCCTCTCGTGCTGAAATGGGCGACTCGGTCTGTGTTCTTGGGTTGGTACGATTTCTCGTGGTTTGTGGTTCACTGTGGCCTTACATGACAACGCAATTCAGACCTCAAGCATTGATGCGGTTTTCTTGATTAGTTCAATTCATAAGCTATCTGAATCATTCAGGGATCTAGGTGAAGGGTTTCTTTCTTTCTTTCTTTCTTTCTTTCTTTCTTTCTTTCTTTCTTTCTTCTTTCTTTCTTTCTTTCTTTCTTTCCTTCCTTCCTTCCTTCCTTCCTTCCTTCCTTCCTTCCTTCCTTCCTTCCTTCCTTCCTTCCTTCCTTCCTTCCTTTCCTTTTTTCTTCAAAATAAATTTTCATTTATTTTAAGCACATTTTCCTTCCTTCCTTCCTTCCTTCCTTCCTTTCTCTTTCTTTTTCTTTCTTTCCTTTTTTCTTCAAAATAAATTTTTATTTATTTTAAGCACATTTTCCTTCCTTTCCTTCTTTCTTTTGCTCCTTTCTTTCCCTTTCCTTTTTTTCCTTCCTTCCTTCCTTCCTTCCTTCCTTCCTTCCTTCCTTCCTTCCTTCCTTCCTTCCTTCCTTTCTTCCTTCCTCCCTCCCTCCCTCTTTCCTTCCTTCCTTCCTTCCCTCCCTCCTTTCTTCCTTCCTTCCTTCCTTCCTTCCTTCCTTCCTTCCTTCCTTCCTTCCTTCCTTCTTAAAAGTTGCCAAGTTTGGAGACCCTGCTGGCTGAGGATTTCTAGGAGTCAAAGGCCATAAACCTGACAGGCGTGGAGGGTCCCTGGTTTAGAACATAGAATAACAGGATTGGAAGGGACCTCGGAGACCACCTAATCCAACCTCCTGCTCTACCAGGAGACCCTGTATCCCTCCAGACAAAGGCTTGGCTCGGCTACCAACAGTGGAAAATGGCCTGAGCCAATTCAAGGGACCACTGATGATGGGGAGGCCATGGTTTTGGGCCCTCCTGGTTGAGATTCTCAGGGTGGCCTGCCTCTTTCCTCTCCCTCCTGGAGGAGGACAGGGCAAGGTGACCTCACAAGAGGCTGTGCTTGCAGCTGTGAAGTAGCAGCAGCTCACCCAATTTGATGGCCACCCCTGTAGTCCATCCAGAACATCGCACTCCCACCCTTACAGCTGAAAGGAAGACCACCCGGGAGCTTGTCTCTATGCCGCTACGAGAAGAGGGCTTAAGAAGGGAAGCTGGCATCTGCGGTCCCGGTCAGATAAGTCTCGTGGGTAGCCGGGCAGGGCTACCTTCTCGTCCCGCTCAGCCATGGCGCGTCCGCTCAACATGGACACGCTTCAGCAGAACTTCTGGAAGGAAGAATATCAGAAAGAGATCATGCTACGCTTCGCCTGGCACCAGAAGTACGGGGCCCTGGTCAAAGCCAAGCAGGAGAGCCTACGGGAACGGCGCAAGAAGGCCGAGGACACCACCCTCCGCCTGCCCTCCATCCGCCCCCCGCCCCCGGTCAAACCCAGCTCTCCCCCTCCACCCCTCCCTCCACCCCCGCCCAAGCTGGTCCAGCTGCTGGCCCGGGAACGTGACCTGACCGGACTGGACACGGCCCTTTTGGAGATGGAGATGAAGCCGGCTCCTCGCGAAGTGCGCAACCTTCTGTATCAGGGAATCTCCCACGAGGACGAGGGACGTTACCGCTACTTGAAGATGCGCCTTCTCGTCGCGCCGGAGGAGAAGTACACCTTCCCCATCACCACCAACTTCACCTACGGCTGGCAGATGGGTGAGTGGGTGGGTGGGCAGGAAGGATGGGGAGGGCGCCTACGGGGATGCATGCAAGTGGACTGTGGGGAGGATCTGTCCGGAGGCAACCAAAATGCAGGCCAGTGGTGCGAAAAACACGATCCGGACTTTGGGCAGGAAACACCAAACGCACAGAGGTCGAACGGGGTATGTGGCTCACAAAATGAAATTTAATGGGGAAAAAAAATTAAGGTTCTACATTTAGAAAAACCAAATGTGCTTGTACAGAGTAGGGGGTACCTTGCTCAACAGTAGCAACTGGGAGAGGGATCGCGCAGTCCTAGTGGACGATCACTTAAATCGGAGCCAGCCGTGTGTGGCAGCTGCCAAAAAAGCCAACACAGTGCTAGGCTGTATTCACAGAGGGATAGAATCGAGATCACGTGAAGGGTTAATACCGCTTTACAAGGCCTTGGGAAGGCCACACTTGGAATGCTGCATCCAGTTTTGGTCACCACGAAGTAAAAAAGATGTTGAGACTCTAGAAAGAGTACAGAGAAGAGCAACAAAGATGGTTAGGGGACTGGAGGCTAAAACATACGAAGAATTGGGTAGGTCTAGTAGTTTAATGAAAAGAAGGAGTAGGAGGGACATGATAGCAGCGTTCCAGTATTTGAGGGGCTGCCCCAAAGAAGGGGAGGGTTCAACCTCTTCTCCAAAGCCCCTGAAGGCAGGACAAGAAGCAACGGATGGAAACTCATCAAGGAGAGAAGCAACCTGGAACTCAGGAGAAATCAACCAGTGGAACTGCTTGCCTCCAGACGTTATGGGTGCGCCAACACTTTTAAGAAGAGACTGGGCAGCCACTTGTTGAAATGGTATAGGGCAGGGGTGTCAAAGTGCTGGCCCGCGGGACAGTTCCATCATACTGGAGCCGCGCCCACCCCATTGCCGGCCATGGCGAAAAAGCTCCAATACGTCGCACGACATCGCCAGTTTGACATGCCTGCTACCTTCCTGCCTTGAGCAGGGGGTTGGCCTAGAAGACCTCCGAGGTCCCACGATTCTATAAGCCTCTCCTTGGTCTTCTCCTAGCCCTGTCCACCTAAGGCAGTGGTTCTCAACCTGTGGGTCGGGACCCCATTTGGGGTCGAACGACCATTTCACGGGGGTCGCCAAACAACACAGTCCACCATTTTTCCCCCCTTTTCCTTAGCTGTGCTGCTCCCTTTTATTCTATTGGCTTTTGAAAGCCAATAGAAGAGACTCTCTTGAATAGAGTCTAATTCTATTGGCTTTCCAAAGCCAATAGGAATTGTCCAGGCTGTCTCTGCCCTGCTGAGCCCGCCAAAAGTCCCAGTCTGCAAACGATGCTGCGCCAGTTGAGTAGTCCTCGACTTACAACCGGTTGAGTAGTCCTCGACTTACGACCTGTTGAGTAGTCCTCGGCTTACGACCGGTTGGGGGGGGGTTGCAGCATTAAAAAGGTTGAGAACCACTGACCTCAGGTCTCTCAGGCCCGCTTTTGGGAAGGACTTTCCCCTCAAAGGGGCCACACGGCTGCCTTGTCTTCTTTGTCTCCCGTCATATCTCCGTTGTGTCTTCCAGGGAAAATGGCCGCCTTCCACGTGGCCCCCACAGCCAAGACCCGCACCGACAGCTTCTTCCGAAAGAACGGCGCCTTCTCTCTGCTGCATCCTCGCGATGTGGCCCTCTGAGTGCCAGTTCCACAGAAACCAAGACTATTGGATTACTTTGGTGCCCGTCTCCTTCCTTGGCCAGCATCTAAGGTGGCGTCAGGATGATCTGTTCTAGAACCATCCATCCAAGGCAGGGCAGGTTTGGACAATGGAGAGAAGGGCGTCGCGTAGCTCTCTCTTGTCCTCTTGGGGAGGTGCGTGACTCGCTTAACAACCGTCCTCCTAGGCCAGGAGGATTCTGGCCCCAGGGGGGGTAGTGTCATCCTACTAGGGCAGTGGTTCTCAACCTATTTAATGCCGCGACCCCCAACCGGTCGTAAGTCGAGGACTACTCAACCGGTCGTAAGTCGAGGACTACTCAACGGGTGCAGCACCGTTTGCAGACTGGGACTTTTGGCGGGCTCAGCAGGGCAGAGACAGCCTGGACCATTCCTGTTGGCTTTTGAAAGCCAATAGAACTAGACTCTATTCAAGAGAGTCTATTCTATTGGCTTTCAAAAGCCAATAGAATAAAAGGGAGTAGCACAGCTAAGGAAAAGGGGGAAAAAATGGCGGACTGCGTTGTTTGGCGACCCCCGTGAAATGGCCGTTCGACCCCAAATGGGGTCCTGACCCACAGGTTGAGAACCACTGTACTAGGGTCTCCAGATGTAGACTGTTAAGACGGGATTCAAAACTCGTCTTCCAGGGTTTCGTTCCGTGGGCCGTTGCATTGTTAGACAACGGCAGTACAAACATTATTGGGGGGTGGGGGCGTGACAGGAAGTCCTCGACCTATGACCACAATTGAGCCCACAGTTTCTGTCGCTAAGTGGGACAGTGAAGTGAGTTTTGCTCCATTTTACAACCTTCCTTCCTGTGAAGTAAATCGCAGCAGTTGTAGTCACACGATCGTTAAGCGAACCCTACTTTCCCCCGTGGACTTAGCCTCGTCAGAAGGTTGCAAAACGGGGATCACATGACTCCCCACCGTCATAAATGTGAGTCGGTTGCCAAGCGTCTGAATTTTGATCCCGTGACCACAGGGGACACTGTGACAGACGTAAAGGATCCTAAGTCACCTTTTTTTTTCAGCGCAGTTGTAAGTTTGGTCCCTAAATGAACTGTTATAAGTTGAGGATTACGTAGAACCTTGCAGGAAGGGAGATGTAAAATACCGATATTTATTATTTATTTGTTTATTAACTCCTTTTGCCCTCCATCTCCCCTATAAGGCGACTCTGGGCGGTGATATATTATGTCAGGCTCCCCGTACAAGTTTTAAGTACGTGCTTTCCATACAGCTAGTCAGTCCTCAACATACGACTGTAATTGAATCCACAGTTGTTAAGTCGTGTGGGTCCTCCTCCACTGATGACCACAACTGACT